AATTTACATTTTATAACAACAACATAAAATCTTCAGGTCTAAAAATACGTGAAGTTCACAATGAATCAAAATATTAAAGAACTCAAAAAAGCTGATTGAATACTGATCATTTTAGGTAATTTATATAGCTCCTGAACTGATTTTAATTATCTTACCTTTAAGTATAAATTTTAGAGCTACAAAGTATAAAGCATGCTCCTAGAGAACACATAATACCAATGACTAATTCCAATTTTTATAACCTCCTGCTTAAGTGGTTTCTTTGCCTCTAGTAACCTAACCCCAACTCCTATCCACCTATCTTCATTTGCCATGATACAAACCTGTCAGTGACTCTTTGCTGTCTAACAATTCAAGTTTTCTCTTCTGTTACTGTTCATTAATGTCTTCTAGCCACTATTCTATTAGGTTGTCGGTCTATTTTTTAAAGGCTGATGTATAAGTGTTTTTTATAAGATATGTTGGATATTGCTTCTTTGCTCTATCTTTTCCCAGAGGCTTTAAACTTCAATGTAATCATATCTAGCAATCTTTTATATCTCATTTAAGAAATTCTTCCCCAACATGTGATAAAATATTCACCTGTATTTTCTTTTAATTTCACAACTGTTTTTCATGTTTAGATTGTCAAATAGAGATCCAATTTTCCCCATGTATCAGGAACCAACTGATGCCTTTCCTTTCCCTGGTACCTGCATTACCACCTCTGTCACAGCATGAAGTAACCAAAAGGGGAGGATCCTAATCTGGGCAATGCTATTCTATTGGTCTGTCTGTCTTTACATGGTATACTACACTCAGGTTACATTACTTTTTTCAATTTACTCATAAGTAAGTAGAAACCATTAACAATATTAGCTTTTTCTTAAAAAAGAAAAAGGAATATGGATATCAGAAGGGAAGAAAACACTACACTGAAGATAGCAGTTACCTTTGTGTGGAGGTAAGGAAGAACTGGGGATGAGTACAAGGGGGCCTAGCTTGTAATGTTATATTTCTTAAACGGTAGGGAGGGAGGGCAGAAAAGATAGTTTACAATGTGTTTTTTTAAAACAATAATCAAAATGGTCAAGTGGCTGATGTTAAAAATTTAACCAAAAAAATCAGTGTGAGTACAGATTCTATATCTCTGCCTTCAGTACTTTAAAGTACACATTAATATTCAAAATGAGAACACACATGTTAAGATTTTACAGTGCTCTCTGAAACAAATATTAGATTTCCTTAGTAAGATCTTAAGCTCTAACATATAGCATCAGCACTGCTGAATGAATGAGTAGTAGGAACAATAATGAGAGGGGTTCTACTGTATTAGGAGAGCCAAGTGCTCACCTCATTGCTATGATTACATAATCACTTAAAAATCCCCTTTTTATTACAAGGAAAACCAGACCCAAGGTGGCAGTGAGCAAGTTTCAACTTTGTTCCATATGTAATTATCAGGGGTGAGGGTAATGATTGAGACTGGGGGAGAAGCCACTCTTGAATTCAACTGAGTCCTGGAGCCTGGACCCTGACTAAAACATCTCAGATCATGCTTGGAGGGATCACACAGAAGCCCAAGTCTACATTTTGGTGATCTTACAAAAAAGGCTCCTTGAAATGGTGTTCGCCCAGTGGACTGGTCGTTGGGATAAGGTAGGGAGTTGACTACTAGGAGCCTCAGGAAAATTTTTAGGGTGACAGAACGTTCTATATCCTCACTGTGGTAATGGTTAAACAATTATATACATTTCTAAATGGTTTTACTATATGTTCATCATAGTTTGATAAAAAAAAGAATATTCATCACATGTGAGATCTCACCTAATGATAAATTAAAACAGCCCTTAGAAAATCAGTTTACTATTATAACAGAATAAACTTATATCTACAGGAGTTCACGAAAAACAAGATAGTACAACTAGGGGACAAAACTGTGGAACAAAGAAGTAGGAGATACTACCTTGCAAAAAAAGGCACTGCTTCAACTTCCGGCCAAGATGGAGGCATAGGCAGACACACTGTGCCTCCTCCCACAACCAAGATAGGGACAACAACAATTTAGAAACAGAATACCAGAACTGACAGAAAATTGATCTGAATGGAAGTCAGACAACCAAGAAGCTAAAATACACATGTTTATCCAGACTGGTAGGAGAGGCTGAGCTGGGCACTGGTCATGGCACGGAGAGCAGAGACTGTTGGGACCAGGCGCACAAGGCATCTGGGGTGCGCAAGACCACAGCAAGTGGACCCCGAGGGCGCAAGCAGTAGCTGGCAGACCCCTGCCGAGGGGTGGCAACCAGCAGACCCAGCGAGGCGGGACTGTGAAGCAAGGCACTGCGTGCAATCCAGGATCCTAGTGCTGGGAAATAGAGCCTTAGGGCACTGATTGAAAACACTTGTGGGGATTGAGGCACAGGGAGAGACTCCCAGCCTCACAAGAGAGGTCCTTGGAAAGTCCCACAGGGTACACAAGCCCACCCACAAGGGAATTGGCACCAGAGGGGACTAGTTTGCTTGGAGGAAGCAGCGGAAGGGACTGAGGTCCCACGGAGAGTGGAGCAAGCGCCATTGTTCTCTCTTGGACCCCACCCCCACATACAGTGTCACAACCCAGGAACTGAGGTGCCCTGCCCTGGTGAACACCTAAGGCTCCGCCCCTCATATGTAACAGGCACGACCAGACCAAAGGGAGGAAAAAAGATGGCTCAAACAGAATGAAAGCCTCACAATCAGTACTTTTAAGCAACCGAGAGATAGCCAACCTATCAGTTGGAAGCACTGCTGATGGGGATGCTCACAGAATTGGTTGATTCTGGTTGCAAATTAGATGAAAAAATGAAGGCTACACTAAGTGAAATGAAGAAAAATGCACGGGGAACCAATAGTGATGGAATGAAAGCTGAGTCTCACATCAGTGAAGTAGACCAGAAGGAAAACAACATACAACCAGAAAAGAAAGAAGAAATAAGAATTCAAAAAACTGAGGAGGCTTAGGAACCTCCAGGACATCTTTAAACCATCCAATATCTGAATTATAGGGGTACCAGAAGGGGAAGAGGAAGAGCAACAAGTGGAAAAGTTATTTGAACAAATAATAAAGGAGAACTTCCCCAATCTGGCAAAGGAAATAGACTTCCAGGAAGTCCAGGAAGCTCAGAGAAATCCAAAGAAGTTAGACCCAAGAAGGAACACACCAAGGCACATCATTATTACATTAGCCAAGGTAAAAATGAAGGAGAGAATCCTAGAAGCAGCAAGAGATAAGGAGACAGTAACCTACAAAGGAGTTCCCATCAGACTGTCAGCTGATTTCTCAAAAGAGACCTTGCAGGCAAGAAGGGGCTGGAAAGCAGTATTCCAAGTCATGAAAGGCAAGGACCTCCATCCAAGATTACTCTATCCAGCAAAGCTTTCATTTATAATGGAAGGGCAGATAAAGTGCTTCTCAGATAAAGTCAAGTTAAAGGAGTCCATCATCAGCAAGCCCTTATTTTATGAAATGTTAAAGGGACTTATCTAAGAAAAAGAAGATAAAAACATGTATAGTAAAATGACATCAAACTCACAATTATTAACAACCACACCTAAAACAAAAACAACTAAGCAAACAACTGGAACAGGAACAAAACCACAGAAATGCAGAACACATGGAAGGTTAGCAATAGGGGAGTAGGAGGAGGAGAGAGGGGAGAATGTACGGAGAATAAGTAGCATAGATGGTAGGTAGAAAATAGACACGGGGAGGGCAAGAATAGTATGGGAAATGTAGAAGCTAAAGAACTTATGAAACATGGACATGAACTAAAGGGGGGGAATGTGGGTGGGAGAGGGTGTGCAGGGCAGAGAGGAATGAAGAGGGGGAATGGGACAACTGTAATAGCATAATCAATAAAATATATTTTAAAAAAGGCACTGCTTGAGATACAGTATTTGGTTCTGATAAATAAGTGCCACTTGTTGAGAGAAAAACTTGAAGGCATTGATATTTTATACAATTTAATCATGAATACCATATATTTTGCGTCTACAATGAAATAAGAAGGGTTAATACAAGGATAAATAGAAATAAAACAGACATCCTCCTCAAACAGACAAACAAACCAATCATTATAGCTCCTTTCTGTAATACTAAAAACATTTTAAAAGACCCAGAGATCTAGTGCCCTTGCTCCACACTGCTCCCAGAGGCCAAAAGCCAATAGAGGACAAAGCAGGTCTCATTCTTGTGCCCTATTTTAAAGGTAAGAAAGTGTCCCCAAAGAGCCATCAGTATACTCTTTCTTCCTCATACCCCACTGGCAAAACTGTACCACTTGTCCATTTCTATGCCAATCACTGGCAGCAGAAGTAGAATTACTCTGGTTGCTTTAGACTATAGATTCTCAACCTTGTCCACCTATAAGATCATGGAGGAGCTTCTAAAATTCCTAATACCTAAGCTCCATCCTGAGATTCTTATTTAATGGGCCCTAGCACTATTGTTTACTTTTAAATTCCTTAGGTGCATTTTCAGAGGGACTACTCTACTGCAGGAAAGATTGAAAAAGCAACCAGAGTACCCAAGTACTCAACTGCCTGTGAGACTACCATCCACTCCAGGGCTTACACAGCTGGCATCCCTTAGAAGGGGTGTCCAACCTGCGGCCCACAGGGTGCATGCACCCCAGGATGGCCGTGAATGCAACCCAACACAAAATCGTGAATTTACTGAAAACTTATGAAAGCTTTTTTGTGATTACATGTTACAATTTATTTAATATGTGGCCTAAGACAACTCTTCTTCTTCTTCTAGTGTAGCACAGAGATGCCAAAAGGTTGGACATCCCCACTCAGATGGACCAGCTCTGCCCATCAATGATTTATTTAGGTCAATTCCTAAATAAAACCACCTAGATTCTCTCCCTTAGGAATCTGAATCATTCAAAGTAATAAAGCCGTATTACCTTTCCTTATGATGTTAGTATTTCTTTATGGTAGATGAGTTCTACAGTTCAATTAGACAAATTACTTACCTAACGTGCATCCAAGCTGAGGCTGAAGCCTGATAAAAATGTTATTTCTGACTTCATTCAGACTGGTCTCTATCTTTGCAAATATTTCTGAAGTAAGATTTTTACAATCTCCATCTAAAAATAAAGTATAGATTGTTATCAATTTCTCATCAATCTGTATCTTTTCAAAAAAAATTAAGACACTGCTAAGCATGAAAGTTTATAGGAAAATAAATTTTGCTGAGACAAAATGCAAAACACAAAATTTTCTTAATACTGCCTCCCTTCTCTGTAGTATACCATAAGTATCCTAAAACACAATTTAAAGTAATTCATCTGAAACAAGTGTAATTACAATTGAATTAAAAAACTACAATTATTCTGTAAAAAATGATTAAAATATAAAAACAAAATCAATTTAATATTTAAGCCAAAATTTGAACAAGTGGTATGATCTGTAACAATCAACAGAATAATCACCTACTCAGTACTGGAATTTCTGTAATAATAGAAAGCAGGAAGAGAGAGAAGACAAAAGCAAAAAAATGCTTGTGAAAAATTGCAAAAAGAAAAAAACAATTTCAAAGAAAGTCAAACTGAAACAAAATATTTCTTACCTAACAAAATTATAATTTTTTACAATGTTTACACCCAGAAGTGATTAGCTGCTCTGGGATATTTTCTTCCTTCACTCCATTCGTGAAAATGGAACTGTATGTTGACATAAGCCTCTGGAAAGCCATTCAGAAAGAATCTTTATATTCCTATTTTAATATCCCTTCTAGGATATACTCAGCAATGGAATCAAAGGATATATAGGTACTTGTCATGGTATTTATTCCTCATAGAAAAAAATGGCAAGCAGCTTCAACAGTTACCATCAGGGAAACAATGGATAAGATATATCTAAAAGATTACATGGAAAGTCAACTTAATAAACGTGAGGATTCTTACACTACCAGAAACCAAAACCCAAAAAGGCCTAATAATTGAAATAGTGTGGTACTGTTTCAAGGACAGATAAAATGACCAAGAGAACAAAACTGAGTTAAGAAACAGCTGCACAGACATATAGAATGTTATATGATAAAAGTGGCATGGCAGATCAGTTCAGACAAAAAGTAGACCTAGAAAAACTGGCTACATATTGGGGAAAAATGTGCCCTTACCACATACCATACACAAAAATTAACTCCAGCAGAACAAAAAATTTCAATGTCAAAAGTAAAACTTTATGAGTTTTCAGTGAAAGTACAGGAGAGTGACTTTGTAATTTGGGGGAAGATTTGTTTTAAAAGCCACAATACTAGCTATAAAAGAAAAAGACAGTAACTTCCATCATCAAAAGGTATCTTTTAAAAAGTAAACAATACAAGCCTGGCCGGGTAGCTCAGTTGGTTAGAGTGTCATCCTGATATGTATGCCAAGTGTGCAGGTTAGATCCTGAGAAAGGGCACATGCAAGAATCAACCAATGAATGCAACCAATGAATGCATACACAAATCGATGCTTCTCTCTCTCTCTCTCTCTCTAAAAATCAATGAAAAGAATAGGAAAAAAGTAACCATACAAGATAAAAATTGGGAGATTTAAATTGGGAGATTTAGCAACACATATCTGATATAAAAAGAGCAACAAAAACATAACTACTCATACAAACCCGTAAGAACATGAAAAAAGAACTAATATGGATAAGACACAAACAGGCATTTCACAGAACAGGGAGTGTACACATGAAGAGCTACTCAACCTCTTTAAAATCTAGGGAAGGCAAACCAAGGCCACAGACCATTTTACATCATTCAAGTAGCAAAATCTTCAAGTCTGAAAATAACCAAGGGAGAATATATGGGTCAGGAAGATCTCTCACACACTGCTAATGGGAGTACTGATTGGTAAAAATACTGGAAAAAAACCTCACACTTCATCATACTATAAACTCAACTCAGAGCTCATGATCTGGCAATTCATTTCTACTGTACAGCCAAGGGCAATGCTACTTGTATCCCAGGAGACATGCCTGAGAAGTCACAGCAGAAGTATTTATAAGGGCCAAAAAAAAAAAAAAAACAATGACAGATGAATAAAAAAATACATTGATACATTTACAAAATGGAAATATTCTATACCAATGAATATCAATGAAGTACAAATACAAGCAGCTTCATAGATAAATCTTAATGAAATGAAAAATATCGCAGAAAACATACTGCACATCCTTTGTTTAAGAGTTGCAAACAAATTAGATAACATACTGTTTAGACCTATGATTGTGGGAAAAACTATTAAGAAGGAATAAAACATTTCAGGATGACAATTACCCTTGGACGGAGATGAAGGGTGATACGGGGAGGAACACATAGGTCAACGTCAGTTACCGGGAATATTTTAATTATTTTGGGGTTGGGAGGTAGGGTCATGGGTATCCTATTTTACAGAAACTAAAACAAATAATATTTCCATCATGTGAAGAGAGATTTGGAGGGAGTTGCAGAATTGTGGAATTTGTATTTACTTCTTTATTCTGCTTTAAGGCAATTTAAAAACTTAAAACTTTACTTTGATGGGTTCTATGATGACCACCATTACCTTGACAGCTAAGATACATCACAACCTCTTTTACAAACTTTACTCAGTTTTTTAAAAAAGTGTCTTTTGAGACTGTCAAGATAATGCAACTTGTGTTATCTCAAGTTTCATGACCCTCCCCTCAGCTCCTTGTTCTCAGGTCTCCATGTAAAACAGATGCTACTGATGACATCTTCCCACCTGTTGTGAGACAAAATTCAAGCTTAATTTATTTACAAATTGAAGAGAAATATATTATTACCAACCTTTAACATCCAAGTGACTGGTGTGCAGAAGCTTACTCGCTTGATTATAGTTCGTGAACAACTGCGAAAACACAGACTCCTCTTTAGGGTCAGTCATCACCACCTTTTTGACCACTTTCAAGTGCACCAACACTGACAGGATACAGTCTAACCAACAGAGAGCATAAGAATTTTTCCATTGAACACATGATGTCTGGCAAAATGGTGTACATCTGCTCTCTGGCAGAATTCCCAGTTCAGATGTGCCTCCTTCATTTTGAGAAGTCTCTCCAGTTCCAAAAACATCCACTGCAGGAGCATCTTCTTCAGCAGCCACATCAGTAACAGCAGCTTCCAAAATCTCCTCCTGTCCCAAGAAATCAGTGGTCCTAATTGGACTCTGCTCACCACTGTGCAGAAAGTCCAGTAAATCTGATGAGGTTTTGTCATATGCTTCTCCATTATGTTTGCTATTCAAAACTCGTTCACCATCAATAACAGTATGACTTTTATTTTTTTTTGAATTTGCTAAAGAAGGTGAATCTTTATGGTTGGTTTCCAAAAGCTTTCTTTTTTGAGGCTTTTTTGGAGTGTGACGGTTTTCCAAATCAGGAGAAATTAGGTTAAGTGACCTACAGCCCAAAGGATAGATGCACTAAAAAGAAAAAATAAAATGTTTAATACAGAAATTCAAACAAGCTCAAATTTTACTTTAAGTCATGAAAAAAAAATGTTTAAAATTTTAGTTTTAATTTCACATGAGGGTATATTATGAATCTAAATTTTAAATAACTAGGGATATACAACTATTTAATCAGAAATTTGGTCCCCAAAAGAGTAATTTTTCCTAGTCAATAATTTAATCTAAATTACATACTAGGGTAAGCTAACAAGGAAAACATACATCCTTTAGCCTTAATAAAAAGCTAATGTCAGGTGAATTAAAAAATTTCAACAATGTAAAGAAACATTTTATGACAGGTGTTATTCTTTTTGGGACAGGTACACAGTATAACCCTAAAAATTACAAAAATATTTTCAAATAGAGAAAGTCGCATAGAGTAATTTGTTTCTTAATTTTGAAATGAATATTAATTTGAGAGTAAACAGAACATCAGCTTTACATCCTCATTGGGTTTAATGGTCAAATTGGCTGAATTTTAACAACTTCAATTTCAGCCAAATATCAACAGTGTAAACAAACCACTAAAAATCAATGAAGTTTACCTAAGTTTGAAAGCCAGCAAAATATTTTACAAGACAAGTTCAAGAAATATATATTCTATGTGCCCTCATTTAAAATATGCAACCTTCAACAGACTAATGGTTGACAGAGGGGACTAAGGTTGGGTGAAAAGGGTGAAGGGATTGAGAAGTACAAACTGTGGGGCGTCCCAACCCCCACTCTCAGGATCTTATACCTGTGACTTCCCCTACCCAGGGAGCTCGTTCCTTTTCATCTTCTTCAGGTCTTTGCTCAAATGCCACTTTATCACTGAAGAGTTCCCTTCACCACACTATTTAAAACTGTGATCTCCCTATTCCCTGAAACTCAGTCCCTGTGGCTTTTTCTCCACAGCATTTTTCATCACTCACACACAAAAAATAAACTTTACTTGTTTTCACCCCCACTCTAGAATATAACATTTTTCAGAACAAGAAAAATTTTACTCATTGTATCCCAGCATACTGAAACAGTGTCAACATGGTGATGTTCAGAATATTTATTGAATATATGCAAAAAGAATTTATTCCTAATGGTAAGGATGCCTAGCATTTTGCTCAAGCTATACACAGCAAAGTATCTATTATCAACAGCATGACTTAGTCTAGTATAGGAGTGTCAAATTCATTTTTACCACGGGCCACATCAGCCTTGCAGTTGCCTTCAAAGAGCCAAATGGAATTTTAGGACTGTATAAATGTAACTGCTCCTTAACTGGAGCAAGGAGCCCAGCACTGACGCCAGGTAGAAACAAAGTGCTGGGCCAGATAAAACAAGGTGGAGATCTTGTGTTTGCCACCTGTGGTCTAGTATTTTCCAAACTTGGTTAATCATGAGACTTGCCCTCAAAAGTACAAAAATACAGAATCCTGGGTCAACTCTACTTTTATCAGCATCTGGGGGTGAGACCTTTTAAAAACTTAAAAAGCACTCCAGGTGATTCTGATGAACTGCTAGCTTACTTGGAATACAGTATCTGAAATTAGTACTGGCTGGTGTGGCTCAGTTGGAGTATCATCCCTTAACCGAAAGGTTGCAGGTTCAATTCCCAGTCAGGGCAGATACCTAGGCTGTGAGTTTGACACCCTGGTCTGGGCATGTCTGACCCCCAGTGTACAGGAGGCAAACTGATCAATGCTTCTCTCTCACATCAATGTTTCTTTCTCTCTCCTCCTCTCTACCTAAAAGCAATGGAAAAATGTGCTCAGGTAAGGATGGAAAAAATAAAGTATCTGAAATTAGAAGAGTGTGTTCTAATCATAGCACTGCCGCTTTATGGATCTTCGGTTCCTAAATTCTCTGCATGTTTTCTTACTCAAAAAATGGGAACACCTATGGGAAGAACACCTATCTTGCAAATATTGAGAATTAAATGTGTATATAACAGTTTCATAACTGTCAAGTATAATAAAACATAGAGTATTATGGAGTTTAATGAGCTCCTATATAAAAGTTTGTAGTACAGACATAAATTACTGTAATTAATCCTTAAAGACATTTAGAATCTTAAGTATATATAACATAGAGATTAGTAACTTTTCTAAAACATTCCAAAGTCAATAAACCAAAGAGAAGAGAGATTAACTAATACATACCAACACCTAACAAGGGCCACCAACAAGCTCAAAAAAAAAAATCAATCTTGAAATGTATTTTTTCCTCACAAGTCTAATAACAATAAAAATAAACATCTTCTGGCAATAACTTTAAAAACCAGGTGGAAAAACAGAAAATATTTAAAAGGTTATACCAAACAGATCTAGAAACTCTATGAGTATTAAAAATATACAATCTAAAAAAAAAAAACACAAAATGAGTACAAATTAAACACTTAAGAAAGCAAAAGGCCAAAACCTTGATACTATCTAAAATTAATTCTTTACCTGCAGATCCTCACACAAATAGACAGATTCTTGAAAACTAATCCGGTAAGTCTTTAAAGCTTTTAACTTTCCCTTCTCTCTACAAGCAGGGCAATACCCATCTGACGGGATGTTAGCAGAATCATAATTCTAAAAGAGAAATAAATAAAGTAAATTAAAACACACACACTACTAGATTGTGCCAAATTACCAAAGAGTTAAATGGAAAAGCAACCAGAAAAGAATTACAACTTTCACTTAGAAGTCTCCTGGCAAGATTATTTTTAATACGGCAAATTAAAAAATGCATATAGGCTTAAATACAGATAGTATTACAAAAAGAATATACTATAGTTTTAAATATTAAAACTTAAGTGTTAAAAATAACATCAGTTTTATTTTCAAGAAAAAAGGTAATGTAAATTGCCAGGGAGAATGCATGTTCCATATTTTCAGAGAATAGTAAACCATAAGGTCTGTGTTTTATTTCTACTTTCACATATTAATAAAACACAGAGAGGTAAACAAATGAAAACAATCTTTCGCCAATACTATAAGATTTCCGTGGAAGATGACAGATACATTTATAAGTTAATGGGTAAAATTAAAATCAAATTAAGTCTCAAGAGTAGGAGGAAAAACACCCAACTCTGCACTGGGGCAAAACAATAAGTTCACTAACTTTTCCCAAATACCCCACCATGTGGAGTGAAGATACCCCTACATCAGTCCCTGGTGCAATCACTGGCAAACCATTTCCAGTCTTCGAGGAATCCATCATTCCGAGTCATTGGCTACTATATTTCACTTGAAACATGTCAATATCACTAACGATTTTTCAATGAACCCTGGAAAAAAAAAGTCAATAGACAATTAAATAAAAATCCTATTTCATTTGAAATAGAGCTTTGGTATTTTACAAGATGTGTATATATTAAGTATATTTTGAGAACTATATGTCCTAGGATAAACATATTCTGAGACTAATCTTTTAGTGAAAAAATATTTAAATATACTTATAAATCTAACAACTTTGTGGGGAGAAAGCAGAGATTGGCAATAGGACCGGTTTTCAAAGACTCATTTCTAAGCAAATTTATTAAAACTTGTAATAGAAATAACTATTATTTAAAGTTATTTTTTATTGACCAGATTAGAGTTTATGCACAATTCAAAACAAATGTGAGCACTACACCAAGGAAGTACTTTAAAACCTCAGATCCATGTGCCATTACTTAACAGGGACCAAAGAACTCCACACATTCCTAGTGCTTCACCAAGAATGATGCTACTTTTTAAATGCTGCCAACAAGATACTATTACACATTAAAATGACATCTACCAGAACAAAAAATATAAACACTGTTACAGTACAAATTATACACGTTACAAGCCTGTTCTGAGTGTAGTCCCATGGCCTAGAATCACATACAGAAAAGTCAAAACTATGACACTAGAGCACAGTGTCAGAAAAGTGATTGTTTAAAGTAGTGTAGATATGGATTTAAAATACAGGAAAACCAGAGACAGGAGACCTATAAGCACAGTGAATCACCACTTAGCAGGGCTGTGGTAAAATAATTTCAAGCAAAAGTGTTTCCCAAATCTAAGAAACCATGATTCTGTAACAGCCATCTCCTGAGAAGCTGCAGTTCACAGGTTCACTTGAAAAACTAGTTAAGGGCCCTGGCTGGTGTGACTCAGTGGATCGAGCACCATGCTGAGAACCAAAGTGTCACTAGTTCGATTCCCAGACAGGGCACATACCTGGGTTGCCGGCCAGGTCCCCAGTGCGGGAGCAGAAGAGGCAACCACACATTGACATTTTTCTCCCTCTCTCCCTCCCTTCCCCTTTTTCTAAAAATAAATAAAATCTTTAAAAAAATAAAGAAAAACTAGTTAGGCTATTCTGTTCCAACTGTATACATTTTACACACTTTCAAACCACAGAATAATTAAAAAATAAATAAAAATGCTTTTTGAAAGTGTCAGTGAGTCTCAGTTTCCTATTCCTCAAGAAATTATCAATAAGGCAAGGTTTCTCAACTACAGCATTGGACATTTTGGAGCAACACCATTCTTTGTGAACGGTGTGCTGTACACTGAATGTGATGTTTAGTAAAATCTATGACCTCTACTCACCACCTCAGTTTTGACAATCAAAAATGTCTCCTGGGAGGCAAAATGGAGAACCACCGCCAAAAGGTTAAAAACAAGTTTGGTGCTTAGTTTTCTTTTTAGGTTCACACACAGCAATTTATTATCTTTGGCTGGTTCTATTTATAATTTGCCTATGAAAGGGAGCTATATAGGAAAAAGTCAAACTTCTATGGTTTCAGAGTAGTTAAAGGATGGGATTTTACACCTGCAAGTCTGGTTGCAGCAATTTCTTTGTAAAATTGGTTGTTCTAAGAAGTACATGCACTAACACATGTAAAATGTTTAGCATCTGATACACAGTAAATTTTAACTGTTATATATTTGGTACTAATTTTACACTTCACTCTAGAAAATATGAAACCTATCTTGTATCATTCTCAAAAGAAAAACAGGTAATCTTTGTATCGTGAATTGCTTTTAACAAAAATTTCCATTTGCTTTAGGGATCAAGAAAACTTTTCCAAGTGGTTCTCCTGGCTCTCAATTATAAAAGTGAAACAGGAGGAGCATTCAAATCTGCTCCCCTAATCCCACCACTATTTCAATGAGAAAAGCAGGTAGGTTGGTGGTCGAAATCCCAAATATACAGAACGCCCCCACCCCCAAGGAAAATTCACTTAATAAGATAACAGAAGTGGGCTATTTAGGTCTTCCAAATACAATTTCCTTTGTCTTCTCTTCAAAAATAACCAGCTTCTCTTTCATATCTCATCTATATTTTGGCATGCCCATCCTTCGAAACACATACATTAGAAAATGTGAGTGGTTCTCTTTCACTTCCCTCTTCTTCACGCATAAGTCACCAGTTACGTGGACAGTTCTTTGGAAGTGTCTCAAATCCCTACCTCTTTCTATGCCATCCTACCCCTTGTCACTGCCAAAGTGATGCTTCTGTAAAACAAGTCCCTGTCCAGCTCAGGTATCAACTCTTAATACCAACCTGATCATTGTCCACACAGCGCAGTGTGACCTGAAGGTAGTACTATGACCTAAAATAAATGTCATTGAATAGTCACCTCACAGTGTGATCCTCTACTATTCACCTTCCCCCAGCATCTTTCTTCTGACACCCCCTTTTCATTACTTCTGTGAGCCACTGATGCTCCAGAAGCCCGAGCGTGAATTACTAACCCCGTAAGGACCCACGCTCTGCGTGCAAAGTGGCAAAACCCAAAGAACAAACATTTCCAAGAGGAGTCTCATACGTATTTGAGCTTGCCCTCCAAGGCCAAGCGGGGTCAGCACGTGCAAAGGTGAAGCCACGACAGACTTGAAGCGGAGGAATGGGGTCGGCTTTTGCGCCCAACTGGGTCGGGTACCAAACCTAGCCTGTGGGCTAGGACCCACAGCGGTCAGCTTCAAATCCTAACATTGGAAACCCCAGGACGTGCTGGATTCCGTAACCCCTCCCAACCTACACTCTCTTTGCAAGAGGGGAGAACAACTCTGGTTTCTCTTCAGCATTTACCTCTCTGAGACCAGACAAACGTAAATCTAAATCTCTTACCTATACACCTCATTCCTGAAGCCCTCCCACAGGAACCTTGTCCCCGCCCTTCCCTCTCCCAGCCCAGCCCAACCTTTCAGCGTGCACAGTGCTCCACAGATGAACCCGCTTCCGTCCCCTTTTCTTATTTGGGGAGCTGAAACACACCTTCACCCTTACCAGCGGCGGGCACTCTTCTCCGCACGGGTTCGATTCGAACTCCAGTTCCGCCGCACAGAGCAACGTCCGCTCCACGCTCAACCTCAGCCTGCTCCTCCCCTAATGACCTCCCCGCTAGGCAAACAGCTTCCGATTTGAGTCCGCAGCAAAGAAGTTCCCCCTTCTACTACGCGCGGACCGGAAAGGATTAGGCACGTCCGTAAGCGTGGCGGAAGGCGATGACCGGAGCACTTCCGCTACGATGCCGCAGAGGTGTGCCATTTGCTTGGCTTCCGCAGCCGCAGTTTCTTTAGCGTAGACGACTGGGGGCGGGGCCGGTAGGTGCAGAGCCCGCCAACTCTGAGTGGCTGAGTCGAGAGAGGCGACATTTCTGGAAGCTGCAGGAAAGCGCGCGAGTGGCGGAGGTGACGTCACTTGGGGTGGGGCGTGATTAAACTAGTTCGCTGTCGGCCGCGGAGGGATTACGCTGAGGGAAGAGACTGTTGCGGTGCTTCTGCACGTCCCGCGCGACCCGAGTTGGAAGTCTATGTGCAAAGGAGTGACATGGTGGGCGGGCGGGCGGGCGAGGGTCAGCCTACCCTGCTGGCGGAGGGTGCAATGGAGTTGCTTGGCGGGGGCGACTTTGAGGAACCGTGGTGTTGGTGACTGGGCCGCGTGAGGCTTCCGTGGGCCGCCCTCCTAAATTCTCAGTGAGAGTCGACCTGCCCGAGTGCGTACTCACAAAGGGTCACCACACACGGAGCTGCCCCTCCCTGTCTCCCCAACCCCCTTCTTCGAGGCCAGGGGCTTTTTCTGTCCGGATTCTGGGACTTTTCTGCTCCTTTCCTTCCTCCCAGATCTTCTAACGGTAAGGGGAGTAGCCGAAGCACAGGGAATCAGCTGTCCACCACCCATTCTAACTAGTAAGCCTCTGTTCTGAGTCTGCCCCCTGACTTCTGGCTCCTGCCTTGTTTTAACTTACGATAAAGGGGGAGTTTCTCATTTAGTTTGTTAAGTTTAGGACTCTGCTTTTCTAGGAAGGCCTAGTGGTGTAAGGGACATCGTGACCACGTGTGCGATTTCCTAGTCTGCATTCTGAATCTTGGGGGCCGTGTAGTCTTTTCAGTCAGTTGGTTCTAGTTCTAGAATATAGTACGCAGTTTCTGACCAGTTCTTAACTGAGTAACCATCGGCAATTTCGTACCTTTTTTTTGTTTGTTTTCCAGTGATCTCAAACTAAATGGTCATATTGTGGAATAATGCTGATCATTTTGATAGGATGGTATACAGGAAACAATTCCTGTGTACTAAGAAATACTTCAGTAAAAATGATTTTAGTTTTTGATACTTATGAATGCAAATGGTCAAGAAATCCACAGGGAGTTTGTTACTTTTTTTTTCAGACTGAAATATATCCTGGTTAGTTTTTGTTTACTGTTTTTGTTATATTAGATCAGCCATTTTCAACAATTTTCATTTCACAGGACACACAAACTAATTACTAAAATTCTGCGGCATGCTCGAAAATAATATTTTTTCCCGATCTGATTTTAAAAATAGGTATAATTTTGACTCATTCATACTGGATGGCTATTTTGTTGGACATTTTTTAATTTGATAGGCCAAGAGAAAAGAGGTCAATGCCCCTAAGTAGCCAGGTATTGGTTGCATATTTTAAAAATTCTTGCAGCACACCTGTTGAAAATCGCTGTACTAGATTATTAATGTGCTGGTGTATTGTTATAACATCTAGCTAATTAGGTTTTTTAAAAGTTATAAAAATATGAGAACGTGTATTTCCTCCTGAAACAGTAGCTAAAACTCAGTTTTTCTTGTTCGCCATTGCTCTTTCCATTTTTTTGAAGTGGAGCACACTTTTGGTAGACACTTGCTAAATATGAATGTCATAAATTGAACAAAGTAATTGATTCAGTTAAAATGTAGCTAAAATGTTAAGATTGAAAAGTCAACATTCCCAAACTGAGTTATATAATCAAACATCGTTGTCTGTAAAGTTGATTTGTAGTTTTTTAGTGTAAATTTTATTTTATTTTTTGGCCAGGAAAAACTATGTAATTGTAACAAAGTGGGGTGGAACTTGGGTTGTGAAAAGAAATGAAGGAATTTTAGTATATGTTCCAGAGTTTTTCCTGTGCAAAAAGGTAGGAAAAGTAAGAAAAAGGAAGGATATTTATGTAGAACGGTCAGTCAGGAGAAATTAACTACAAAATTCATTTGTTTATCTTAGAGGAATGGTACCATGTTCAGAAAATTATATACATTTCTTCTTTATTACTGGTGTATTTGTAGTGCTTTTTTTTGTACTACACTGGTCCCCAAAAGAGTACTCTTACCTTCCAGTAGGATTAAAGCTCATTGCTTCTATCCCCTTTCAGCAGTGTGGTACAGATTTTATTTATTTCCATTTAAATACTAACATGATCTAGTCACAGGAAGCTTTTATTAAATTAATCACCAACGAGCAGCTACCATAGCAATAGTGTTGCAGGATTAGGATTTTCTTTTTCTTTTTTCCATTTTCCTATTCTCACAATGTCAGCTTTTGCCCCCTCTGCTAGGGTGGATTCCTAAATGACAAAACAAATCTTCAGCCAAATCTGGGATGTAAAAACTGCCTGCTTGTTGTTCTAGTCTCATCAAAAACCATATTTTCTAGCAGCAGCTTTATGAGTACAGTCTATAATTTTTTAACCTGATTCCAACATTCAGAAGGCTTTAAAACCCAAAAACTTTTTAAGCTTGGAGACAAAATTCATTTGGCAGCAAATATGGCCTGAACTACGAAGAAGTTATATATGGTGTTATCACACTTGTTTTGCTGAAGAAATAATTATGTTTAATTATGGGGTGTGGCCCTTGGCCACTGGTATATTAGGTGTTATATAATGGTTTGTTTACTGTATGACATTTTTAAAGTTTCAAGAAATTATTTTAAAGCGCATCCATACCTTGGGTTTTAGTTAAGGAATGTGAACATGTATTAATATTTTTGGCAATACAGTTGTGCTAGGCATTTGTATATTTAAAAAATTAATACAGGTAAGTTCTTTTCCTCAGTGAATTTACTTGAGTTAGGAGGATAGAAAAAAGTACACTTATCATACTGTACTATGTTTGTTCATAGAGGTATGCATAGCCTCTTAGTGTAGCTGTATAGAAACCAAACTAGATACTAGTCATCTGAAGGTTTGAGATTATTTTGTACTTAAGACTCTTAAAATTTGGATAGAACGTGACAACCCATTGTGAAGCATAAACTTACCTAGCTCTGTTTTGCCCACACGGAATAAGACAGTATGATAAGGAAGAGTGATAGAGTAGATACTGGAATATCTGGTTTCTAATACTAATTCTTCTCTGTGATCTTACACATGTCACTTAATCTTCAAGGCCTTGATTTACACTGTGAGAAGTTTGGAATAGATGAGTCTCTTAAGGAAGGTCCCTTTTAGTCCCAACATTCTACTTGCAGGTATTTACCTTTAGACTATACTTTTATACTATACTAGACTAGACTACTTTTTATAAATGTTTTCTGTTAAGAATATGATCCTATTTCATCTTGAACTGCTGATCTACATTTTGTGTCTTCCTTTGGATTAGGTAATACATTCACATGGTTCAAAATTCAAAAAATGAAAAAGATAAGCAGTTAAAAGTCTTCCTTCCATACTTGTTCCTCAACCACCAGTTCTTTGCCAAGGAGTCAGCTAATGCCAACAGTTAGTTATATATTTTTCAAGACAAAATTTTTGCATGTACAAGCAAATAAGTACTATATATATTTTATTTATCTCTCCCCCCTTTTTTCACATAAATGCTACATACTGTGCGTAGTTTATTCTGAATTTTTACCGATTTTACAAGTTCTATCATTACATAAAGTGTTTCTTCATTCTTTATGGCTGCATAATATTTCATTGTGTGATGTACCATTTCATCAGTCCCTTCCTTTTGTATATTTAGGTTTTTTTCTGATTCTTATTTAAGGTATTAATACAATGAATAACTTTGTACATTCATTATTTTCCATGTATGTGTATATATTTGTGCCCAAGGCAATGGCATAGCTCTGTTGGAGCAATGACATATTTAATAAAATGTCATTTAGTAACCAATAACATAAACAGATTGGTAAATTGGGGTCTCAACAATGTGTTTCTTGGGTTCCATCAACTTCAACTTACAAATGTTCCCTGTGCCAGTATAGTAGAGTGGTATACTGGGGTCAACACCCTACTTGGTTATAAAGTAAACATGAAATAAATCACATGACCTAAATGGCTGCCTCTTCATTTGAGCCTTTGATGATGCAAGTGGATTATGTGTAGGGACCTTGACCTAAACAAAAATTTTGATTTTTAAACATTCAAATCCTGCAGCACAGAAAGACTCAATGAGAGGTATGTAAGAATTGGGAGTGATGTGACAACAGGTTTGTCCTTTCCAGCTCAGGCCCACTTCACAGTGTATGCTCATTAAGTGTTGTTTAAATTGATTTTTTCTTTTTTTTAGATTTTTTTGCCAAGCACATATACTTGTAGTTGAATTTGTGTATGATATAATTTCTCTTTTTGGGGTGATACTGCTTATCTTTTATTTATTATTTAAAATATACTTGATTGATTATAATATTACAGTTGTCCCATTTTACCCCCCTATATTGCTCTCTGCCCTGCACCCCCTCTCCCACCAGCATTTCCCCCCCCTTTCTTAGTTCACCTTCATGGCTCATATGTGTAAGTTCTTTGGCTTCTCCATTTCCTACACTGTTCTTAATCTCCCCCTGTTTTGTACCTTCTGTTTATGCTGCTTTTTCCCTGTACCTTTTCCTCCATTCCCCCCTCCCCCTCCCCACTGAGAATCCTCCATGTGATCTACATTTCTGTGATTCTGTTCTTGTTCTAGTTGTTTGCTTAGTTCGTTTTTGTTTGTTTTTTTAAGTTCGGTTGTTGATAGTTGTCTGTTGTCATTTTACTGTTCATAATTTTGATCTTTTTCTTAGATAAGTCCCTTTAACATTTCATATAACAAGGGGTTGGTGATGATGGAACTCCTTTAATTTGACCTTATCTGGGAAGCACTTCATCTGCCCTTCCATTCTAAATGGTAGCTTTGCTGGATAGAGTAATCTTGGACCGAGGTCCTTGCCTTTCATGACTTGAAATACTTCTTTCCAGCCCCTTCTTGCCTGGAAGATTTCTTATCAGAAATCAGCTGATAGTCTAATGGGCACTCCTTTGTAGGTAACTG